AAGTTTTGTTGAACAAGAAGCAGATTTTCATAGACAATAACTGAATATAGGGTCATTATTTTAAGTTTTACAAATATTGGTCGACACTTTTCATCATAATTGGCAGAGATTATGCTTCTTACTGCAGGTTTTTGAATGACAAATATTCTATTAAGATGTACCTTTGATGCATTACTCCAATTGATTATACCATATCTAAGGACTGAATGAAAAAGTGAATGATATGTTGCAAGTGCCGCACTTTGATTTACTATTTTTTTAAATTTTTCTGATAGCAAAAACTGTCGTACTAAGTTTACTACACATGCTATTTATATGTTCTATCCATTTCAGGTTGGAATCTATTTGTACTCCTAAAAATTTGGTAGAATTTTGTTATTTCGATTTAAGACAATTGTTTCAAAAGTTAGAGTTTCTGCTTTTTGTTCATTGAGAATCAAGTCATTTGGTGTGAACTATGATAGAGCTTTCTCTAATATGTCAGTACGGATCATATGAGGATCATCTATTTCATATAATTTTTTTTGCCCAAGGTTGCATCATCTGCATACATTATAGTTTCTATGTCTGACGAGTTCATCACGTGAGGCAGGTCGTTGATATAGATTAGAAACAGAAGTGGCCCCAATATTGACCCTTGTGGCACTCCTCTTAATATTTTTCTTTCTTCACTTTTGGTATTTCCTAGATCAACAATTTGATTAAGGTATGACTTCATCATGTCATGATGTTTCATCTAGAACTGCGGTAGATATCGAAAGCGATTTCATCTGAATCCCTTAATCTAATTCATATTGAAACGAGATAATCGATTTCTTAAATTTAATAGAGACGTGATGATGCATCATTGGATCCTACTATACTTACGTCGGGTATTCGATGTGTCTGAATCCTGTATGTCTCGGATATATGTCGGCAATTGGAACGACCGCCGCCACCAACCACCTATTGGATCTTCCGCAGTCGAAATACGGCCTGGTCCATTTCACCGGACCCGGAATTTCATCGGCGCCCGGAGGTCCGTGGAAAGTGAACGTTTCGTTCGTATTGTTGGCGTATCGAATTTCCACTTGGTACGTGGTTTTGGTATCGTGTCTGCCCACCACGAAGTCCGGAAGCCATTTCTTGTACCATTCGTTGATTCTGTAATAGTCGGAGGTGTAATCGCTGCTGGTTTCGGGCTTGATGGCGCCCAAATCTTGCACCGTGAACGTGTTGAGCGTCGATATTCGTTCCAGGTGGATGGGGTCGTTGAAGTCGTCCGCTCTGAATGTTCTTGGTGCAAACCTGGAACAGAAACGACACATTTTGGTGGAGAGAAACAGTGTTAATAAACTGTTGAATGAATATATTGTCTAAGTTTCATAGGTTAGAAATGTTTAAATGTATCTCTTATAACTAATTTGGTGTTGAGCTGAGTATCTTCTTGAACGAATTTTTGATCCTTCGCGTCAAAACACTCCGCCATTATCTTATTCCCAGAGCTTTGCCGTTTATTAGTAGCAGTGATTTGACGTTCGAATATAGATTCCCCAATAGATTCCCCGACTGATTCATGATTGTTAAACTAATTTGGTGACCGGGAAGTCGAATATTATTGCTGTATTAGATGGTAGAACAAGTAAAGGAAGTGAGAAACTTGAGGTTCTCTTGTAGAATATTATTAACCTTCCGCCAAAGGAAACTTAATAGCTGTTAACATAGAACTGCCAATGTACCTAAGACAAGGGCGGATTTGAATCAAATTTTGGGTGGGGGGTAACTTTTAGGGTATATAAAAGTATAATACTCATTTGGAATATATTGAATGTTCAAAATGAGCACTGTGTTTAAACAACAGAACTGCAACCAAGCTGACCTCTTCTGGAGATTAAGTACACTAATTCCAAAACTGGTATCAATTCAAACTTTCTATGTTTTTACCACTTTTATTTGTAACTAACGTTACTGCAGTTTCGTCCTATAAGGACATTTCCAAACGTATACATTGAAGTTAAAAATAAAAGTGGTAAAAACGTAGAAAGTTTCAATTCTCTTTCCTTCATGATGATTTCCTACCACGTAGTAACGGCTACATATATCAATTAATCCAAAAAATTAAAGTTGCGGCGCCCTCAAAAACCAAAAAACCAATACAAAGAAATAAAGCCGCTGCCAACTAGTCCTCGTGGACTGAATAATTGGCGATTCGTATTGGATGATTTAACTAACCGAGTTTTATGATTGGCTGAAGAGTCATAAAATTAAATTTGAAGTCATATTACGGTGACGAATAGAATGCGAGGATGTTTAAACACTTCCTGTTGTTAATGTTCAGTCCAGGAACTGATCGCGATTTGAGTATTGAAATTCGATGTTGGTGCAGTTATAATTACATACAATTTTTATTATCTGTTTGAAATGTGGCGTCCTTGGACAATTACTAATAGTAATCACGAGTGTGATAACACCGCAGAGTTTTTCCTGCGTAGTGATTCCAATATCGATGGTGAACAATGCGAAAAAGATATACCAGTGAATAAGATTCGGATGCATTTGAATATTGAAACACAGAGAGTATGTTTCAATGTATATATAAGAATCTACATCTCAAAAGTTTGGTTTCATTTTTTCTCATAAGAAGTGAAGTATACATTAATTAAGTTGGCGCCAAAAAACTTGAATTTTGCCAGACATAATGCTAATACATTAAACTTTGACAGCCAATTGAATTAATTTCATTTCCTGAAACGAATGTGGTTTAACGTTAAATGAGTCATTGATTAAATTACCTCGGAAACGTTTTGTTGAAAAATCCTCGGTACGAGCTGGAATACGACATGTTCGGAGAGAAGTATATAGCACTGGCGTTGATGTGTTTGTTTGTTGACACATCAGCCACAGTGGACAAGAAGTAGTACATCATCCCCGGATCGTAAGTATCGTTTATGGCGGGCCTGATGAACCTACTCTGTAGTATGTAGGACCAGAAGAAGGCCCTGTTGAGTGCCATGTTGTGCATGTGCAACAATTGAGTCCTGTTGGGGAACACGGGATTGATGTTGATGTCTTTGATGTCGGGCAGATGCGACACCGAATTCTCGGGCAGGTACAGATCGCCAACATGTTGGATTTCGCAGTTGTACTTGTTGACTCTGTTCATCGAACGAGACACTTCGTCGAAGGGGTCCCTGGCTTGCCATTCGTATTGCCCAGTCACGCCCACCGTCAGTAAACACACAAAGAACGCGTAGCTGTACATATTTTCGAAATAAGAAGAAACACAAGTCGGAGCACTAGGAGGAATCACTTCCACATTGTTTTTATTTTGTTTGTACGGTCGATGGGGTTAGAATGTCGCGTCGAGGAGGCCAAGCCCATTGAACGGTGTAGTCATCTCTTTAATGAATCGCCCCTCACGTCACAGTTTGATTGGACACTGCTGTGGTGGGAGTCCGAGTTGATGGTATACACCTGTGTGGTTTTCGGCGACCAACAAGTGGTCGCCCGTGCAGCGTTGCCAAATTATATTTCCCGAAATCTCCGGACTAGTTGATAGAGAATCTTTGCATCTCTCGAAGGAAAAACAGCTTTACTCTTTACTTACCCAAGTTAGACCAGGTATCAATGCGGTTGGGTTTTTGTACAGCAGGGGTTCTCAAACTTTTTTAGACACCGTACCCCTTTTTACAAAAAAAAATCCGGGTANGCAGAAATCTTAGCCGGACAAATGTAAAAGGCTGTCATTCTTGGCTCACTGCGCTTGCTCAGGATTCATGATTCTCGGACCCAATGATCACAACCAATGACCACTTCCCACGGTGTGGGAGTGGTCATTGGTTGATAATGCTGGCGAGCCCCTTTGAATGTATCGGGGTTTCGGGGGATAGGGCCCGACCAGCGCTACCTTCGGTTTGAAAGTGTAACAGAATCAAATTGCATGATCTCGGTGGCCTGTTTATATCACCTCCACGTGAAATGACCATACCTCAAATCGTTCGTGTAGAAAATCCAATGTGACATGAGCTGTGTGGCACATAGCGCCGTCCTGTTGAAACCACATGTCGTTGGTGTCCAGGTCATCCAATTCAGGCCACAAGAAGTTGGTAATCATCGATCTATAAGGCTCGCCATTGACAGTGATGGTCTGGCCAACGTCGTTCTCAAAGAAATAGGGACCGACGACGCCGCCAGCCCAAAGTCTACAACAGTGATTTTTTCGGGATGCATTGGTCGCTATTAGATCTCATGTGGATTGTTATCTTTCCAAATTTGATAATTTTGTTTGTTCACGTACCTATTCATCCAAGTGGGGAATGGGAAAAATACCCAGCATGGTTCAAACAGAACTGGCTGGTATCACAATCGGCACAAAATAAATAACCAGGAAAGGAATTTCTGGCAAAAACATAACAATCTGCATTGATAGCAACGTGTTACCTCAGAGCTAGTACTAGAGTGCCACCAAGATTTGGCTAAAGCCTCGGTAGATAATAACATTATCCTGAGGTGGATTAAAGGGCACGACAGGAGTGAAGGTAATCGCAATGCCGGCTGATGACTTCGAAAATTGCGGAACTAGTCAAACGTCACACCCATGCTCAATCCCTAAAGAGATGGGATGAAATCAATGCAATGCAATCTTGCCAGGATCGCCCTGGGAAGCTGGCGCTTAAGAAATATCTGGCGATGGCCAGGAAAGATCTACCCTTAATAGTAGAATTTTCGACTGACCACTGCCAACTAAGGAAACACCTCCATAATATAGGGCTAGTGGACACACTTCTATGCAGGATGTGTCAACAGGAAGATAAAACTGTCAGGCAGGTCCTATGCAAATGTCCGGAGTTATCGTCCATAAGAGAGTGTGTGTTCGACGAGTCTTGGCCTAACATGCCGATATAAAGAAGATGTCTCCCAGAGAGCTGTCCACCTTCCTGGAAAGGACAGGCAGGTCCAGGAGGATGACCTAGGAGGACAACTTCTAGTGAGGATGTACAATGGGTTACATGTGGCCTGAGTGCTGTGGGCCTACATTTACTCTCCCTACTCTACAGATACAGATACCTATTCATCCAGAGATGTGCCTCATCGCTAAAAATGATTTTTCGATGAAAATTAGGGTCAGTTGTCAACTGCTCCAGAGCCCATTCTGCAATTACACGTCGTTGCTATGATCGTTTACCTTCAGTTCCTAGGTCAGTTGAATTTTGTACGGTCGCAGGTCCGAATCACGACGCAATATTCGCCAAGTTGTGGTCTGCCAAAGGCTGAGTCCTTGTGAGCGACTGCCTCGGATTCTCCTGCACACTCTCACATACATCGGCGATGTTTCCGGTAGATCTTACGTTTCGTCGACGTACAGGTGTTGGTCGATTGTTTACTGAACCAGTGGACTCAAGATTTATCCACCACATTGCGAATAGTCGTCTCGGTAGGACGATTATTGCGACCGTAAAATGGACGAGGCGCGCGGTACGTTGCCAGAACAGAACACCCATTTTGATAAGACAATTTAATTATTTATGCGTGTTGCTGAATGCTATATCCACGGTGATTTGGCAGAACAGATGGAATATTTGACAGCTGCAGTTCAATCACTAATGTTGGCTATATATATCCCTTATGACCTCTCTCGACAATCGATAACATATTCTAATAGCTGTTTGAATGTTTCTGTATCAAAGTTTGAACAAGCTTTTAATATTTCTGCGAAAAAAGAAGATCAGACTGAAAGTAGAATTTGGAATTTTTCTCTTTTTTCCTGTACATCTTCGGAACTGAAAAAAGCAAGTGTCGATTTTTTGATATCGTTGAAGAGTACCTGGAAATAGCCAACGTGGTCACAATTTACCCTGAAGATGAAATTGTTGATGGTTTAAATTCAAAATCGATAAAAGAATGAATTTTTGTATTTCCTCTTGTATGATTCTGGATCCTGTTCTTCAAGATTATTCTTTCGAGAATTTTATATTTAGGGTTAGTTGATTGATCAGAAATTATCAGTTACTGCTCTGTGATGACTGTGATTTTTCTTTAAACTTACAGAATTTCTTGGTGATCAAATTCTTCAAATCTAAAGAAATTTCTTTGCATCCGGCAACGCTGCCTCTTTGTTTCATAGCGATATCCGAATGGATTTTAGGCAACCAAACGCGCACGGCGTATCGATCGTGACGGCTGGTGGGTTGCGTGTTGTCGGCACGATAAAAGTAGATCGGTTGGTATCCGGAAACATCCGAGCATGATTTCGGAAGATTTCTGCGGCCGAAAGACGTGTAGGATCGAGCGGTTGGTATGCTTACCGGTGAGATGGCGCTGCGTGTCAGATTTGACGAATTATGTATTCAGAAGTTTTGGTCTGTTCCATGGCCGTAGCCAGAAAACAATTTTGGGGAGGGTTTGGTTTGGTGGAACGGTAGAAAAACATGAAATATAAAAATAACGAAAGAAAGATAATTGTTTTACATGATCATATATATTTGTTAGAAAACCATTACAGAAATATTAACATCTTTTTACGAAATCAAATTTAGTTTTTTAGCTTTCTTTGCAGCAAACAAATCAGTGCAGATTGTTATTTTTTGCCAGAAATTTCTTTCCTGGTTATTTCTTTTGTGGCGATTGAGATACCAGCCAGTTCTGTTTGAACCACGCTGGTATTTTTTTCATTCACCACTCAATCCTTGGGTTTAGTTATCTGGACTACACTCCACATCACGAGCCTCCTTTAGTTTTGAGCCTTCTGTATATATGAGTATTGCATTTGCAATGCACTGGTTGCATGCAGCAGAGGTTGCGCAGTGTGCGTTCCTCGCCATAGGCTCAGCCTTAATTGACCCATTCCTTCTTGGAGGTTTACACCAGCCGTGTGCAATCGTAACATGACCATTAACTCAACCTCTTTAACGTACAGGTCCAGAAGGGACAGACCAGTAATTAATTCCATTGCCGCGGTTGGTGTTATTCTTATGACTCCTGTGATGTTAAAACAAGTCAATCGTTGTATTTGATATAATTTTTGGATGGCCGTTGCTTGTAGAACTTTCGGGGGGATCAATCCCCCTTAATCCCCCCTGGCTACGGCTGTGGTCTGTTCATTTCGATTTATTCCCACTTATATGTTTCAATAGAATATACTTTGTATATAGAGGTTAGTCTTTATACAAAGGAATAGAGTTATGGCTAACTGGTTCATAGACTGAAACACTGGAATTGGGCAGAGGCGGATCAAGATGACTGGTTAGGGGGTAATGAAAAAAAAAAGGGTTTTTTTGATCGACTATTTTATTTGTTAACAGGACAATAAATATAAAAATCCACAAGAAAAACAAAACTATTCCTAATTAAAAACAAATCATCTACTTATCAAAACAGGTGAAATGAAAAAAATATGATAGGGAACAACTAATATTTTTTGTTGAAATGGTCACTTCATTTCCTACTCATCCGTCATTTGTTTTAAAGCCACAATGCGTCGATGCCAAGTTTTCATTATTATTATTGATATTGATGTTATTCATGACGAACCTTCCATCTTGAATTCTTTAACATCTCCCAAAATACATTCATATAATATTTATGGACGAGTCGACCATCAAAAGTGTTACTATTTGTCGAAAATAGATAATCGGAAATAAAAAAGTTGATAACAAGAAATTGGAGAAATCTACTTAATCACTTTAGTAATGTATTATTTATAACATGAGAAAGAAAAGAAAATATTTCAATAACTGTTGAAAATGCCATCATTTTGAGATTTGGACTACACCGTCACATGCTCCAAACTCGTGATAAATTTTCTTCAGTCTTCTTCTTTGGTGCTTTCAAGTATTTTCAACCTTCTTCCAAATAATTTCCACTGTAAAAGTGTCATAAATTTTAGCTTCACCCACAAATAGAAATCCAGCAGATTTCAATCTGGAGATCATCGAGGTCATTTTCAACTGGAACCTCTTGTTCCGATCCACTTATAGTTAATTCGAATTATAATTATTGCAAACATGCTATTCTGGTGGTGTTTCCATCACCAAAAATTGAACGAAGTGATTCTGTAAATTCCTGTCGAGTCTAGGCATTTTTTAAAACCGTAACTTAAACCATACATCCGTTTTTGAGATAAGCAAAAAACTTTATTCTTAGTAAAGTCGTATCCTGACAGTTAATCTAATCTCGTGATAATCGAGATGTACAAGGTATAGTGTTTGTTTCGTGATGTTACTATGAGAAATGTTTCTCATTGAATCAGAGTTCAGTTTTCTAGTTTACATTTCAAATCTGTACATCTTTCAAGACAATGGAAGTTGGGTCGGAAACTGTTTGAATGGAATTCATCAAACTGTGGTGGTAAATGACCTTGTCTTTGCCTTGTTTCTTGTGAATCTTGTTTTATTGATTTCTGTGTTATATCTTAGAAGGAAACTTGAACGAGATACATTCCAAACTCCTGGTTCCTAACA